TCATGAAGATCTTGCTAACTGCCTTCTCTCGATCCGCACCGTAAAAAAGTGAAACCTCGTTTTTTTCCTACCGGATCTATGACTCGCGCTCTTTGTAGTACGAATCAAGAAAACAGTGTTATTAACAGGTATTTAGGTTTAGCTTTAGTTATTTGAACATTTCCGAGTACTGAGTACTAAATTTACCTTAAATGAAACCTATATTGTGATCCAGAGGAATCATATTAATAGCATCGTTTGATATCATCGACCGTATAAATTAAACAGTCTACGTGTTATGAAACTAAAACATTGTCAATAAAGAGAAGTTCTCTGTCGTCCAATAACACAGCCGGGAGAAAAGTTTTCTCAACTGGTTTCTTTTTACAACCGTTGTATAATTGCGATTAGTTATAAATAAAATTATTTGTGTTTTGGGATCGCCGGTTTGTGGTAGTTTGGCTTAAGGATGCTAAAAATTTAGCCTGATAGACGTTTCGATCGTATTAATAACAAAAGTTATGATAAGGCCCTAGTAACTTGTACGGCTTTGTTTAATAAAAGAAAACATTGTTTTCTGTCGCTGCAAAAAATGAGTGAAAGCAGTGAGCAAAACTCAGAAAATAAGTGACGTTTCTCGATGAATTGTGAGTCTCTTGTTCTAATTCGGAAAAAAGGAAAATTTTTTCTTTTGGAATCGTTTTTGCGGTTTTCCTGCGCGCGCCAGTCTATCGCGTCTTATCTAAGTTAAAAAGAGCGTCTTATCTAAGTTAAAAAGAATATTTCGAAATTTCCAGTACTTAGTAGTCATATGATAAAATGCTTACTGATGTTTATGACGCATGGATGTTCATGACTTTGATGACGTACACGGACCTTCATAACCTACGGAACTCGAGCCAAATATTTTCCCGCCTGGCCCTCCCAATCAATCAATAGGTTCACATTATTTTCATAAATTATTATATCATATCAAATTGCTGTTAAGAGCAAATGCAAGTACAAGTAGGGTCTGCCAAATATTTTCCCGTCCGGCCCTCCCACTCAATCAATAGGTAAATATTACTTTAATTTTATAAGTTATTATAAAATTTCTGTTTAGACCAAATGCAAATACAAGTAGGGATTGCATCATGCGACCACTCGTATGACATTCGTAAATTCAACGAAATATTTGTGAGAGTCTGGGTGATGGTCTTGTATTGTGAGGTTACTTTTAAATACCCATATAGTACATGTGTGGAGACCTAAGTGCTCGAGGTATGAGGTCTGAGGTCCGAAAAAGATCACACTTTAACGCTTGAGTGAAAAATTAAAAATTGATTTTGTATTATAACATCACCAAAGTAAAGCACGCGCTCCGATTGGTCAATTCAGCGTCC